AATATGTTTATATTTTCAAGTACTTGGTCTCTATGAGGAATAAAAAAAAACAGTTTACAAAAGTTCCTCAAAATCTAGACCTAGACATTCAAAAACGATAGTGGGCTAAGGGCTGTTGCAAAACACAAACTACAATCGTGCTTTTATATTTATTTTGATGTAAGTAAAGATATTCTTGAATTGTTTTTGTTTCCAATTTGATATAAATTCATAAAACGTAGTTGATCAACTAGTAGGTCAATATACCAGTAAAGGGGCAGCAAGAGTTCGACCACAATCCTTACGTAAATTAACATGGGAAATCGCTAAGGTTCATTCTGCACTTTTTTGTCTAAAAAAGTCTTTTCAACGTTAATCTATACCACGTTCTCTACGTAATGCCGTTTTTCCCGTTTGAATTGGACCAGTAGCAGTGAAGAAACATGCTAAGGTCCTTTTGACAATCGCATGTTTTTTCTCTTCAACGTTAATCTACGTCACATCTCCTTCCTAGTAGTGCCGTTTGTACTGTTTGAATTGAACCAATAATAACATCCGATGTCTTTTACCAGCGTTATCTCTTTTTTTATGTATACATTATAAAGTAAGAATTTCTTAAATGACCTCGTGGTTGAGTGGTCTACAGCGCCGGCTGGTAATCGGCAAACCTCTCTGGGTCAGTGGATCGATCCCCCGCGGTTTCAACTTTTTTTTTAATAAATAAAATAATTAATGGTGTATGTTGAGTTGCTGTGATAATGATGTATAGTAAGTTGCGGATTAATAAATTAATTAATAAGTGATTCCATCTAGCGGCAGATGTAGCAGGCTGACAACAAGGTCGAGTAAGGTTAGCAACAGTTGGCTAGTGACGTCATGACACGTGACGTCAAGATCGACGCGTGACCTTGATTTAGACAAAAAAGTGCAGAATGAACCTTAGCGATTTCCCATGTTAATTTACGTAAGGATTGTGCTTGAACTCTTGCTGCCCCTTTACTTATATCTACCTCTTTACTTAACACTGAGTCTGAGGATACTAATTAGTTTGTATTACGTTTTAGATGGAAGAAGATGCAGAAAATTGGATCCATTTCAAAATTATAGGTAAAAATTTGACAATAAAACAAGATGTTCTCATAAATATACCACATAAAATCAAAAATTCCTATTAAAGGCTCTTTAATTGACCCTGCCAAAAAAGGATTGAAAATTTGAAACACTTATTTTCATTCCATATAAAATGTTATTAATTGCTTAAACGATTATAATAAAGTTATTTATTGTATTTTTCTTATTAAACAGGAATGTATAAATAAATTGCCTACAATAGGTACAAAAACTTCATTTATTAAACTTATATATTATGTTTATTCCTTTAAAATATGCAAATCATTTGTTTTTTTATTATAATTAGAATACCGCATCAACCATTTGTTTATTAGCGGACATAAGCCGTTTTACAAATAAGTATGGTTATACAATTATATTATTTGTTTTAAATTTTATGTAGAAGATTTGTTTCTTGTAGAAAGTTAACAATGTTCCTTGTACTGCATTTCTGGAAGATGTCCGGTAAGTTGGATGGAATATTGTTGTTGACACTTTCGTTTTGATATAGTGGACATTCCACTAAGATGTGTTTGACACTTAACGACACTTCACACGCGAAACATTCAGGTTTTGGAGCAAATATTCAAGAGTTAGGCGAGTGTGACCCAGACGTAATCATGTGACACAAACTTATGTGATGAGCGGGTAGGTGACGCGGTGGCCCACGAAGTGAAACTAGGGTTAATTTACAATAATTTAGAGTTCTTGTTTTGTCAAATTTCATTCCATTGATCTGTATTTTTGATTTAAAAATTGATTTTAGATCACTTGCTGGGACTTCATTGAGAGGTTGAGTGTGGAGTCTTCTGTGGCGTGTTTTGCATACTTGTCAGCCAGTTCATTGCCTTTGAAGCCTATATGTGAAGGAACCCAGAGGAAGTTTATTGTTTTGGGCTTTAGAGGGCGAATTTCTTGTTTGATTAGTTTGGCTATGGGATTTTTGGAGTATAATTGAGATATGACATGAAAAGAGTTAATGAAATCAGTAATGATTACAAATTGATTTAAAGAAGATGTTTTGGCATAAAGAAGTGGTGTGTATATGGCATGTAACTCGTCAGAGAAAATTGCTTGACAGTTGTGATAACCAGAAATAATATTTTGGAATGCATTTTGGATTAATTGGGGGTTGGTATTTGTTTTGTTGATGGAAAGTAGTTGGGTGTTTATATTTACAGAAGGAGTTAGTCACGGCGAAGGTGAGGGAATAGCTAGGGGATATACTTGCGAATTTTTGAGGTGAATGGAATTGAGATATCGTATGTTTCTTTCATGAGAAATTTGAAAAGTGCCTGTAAGTGAGGGAGTCATGTGATTTGCGTACTGCAACATAAGATAGACTAAGATGTTGTCTTCTTGAATTTAAAGAAAGTTCACCAATCTTGGACTGAAGGCTCATAATAGGAGTTGTTCTGAATGCTCTTGAGATGGTTCGTAAAGCATTATTCTGTATTATGTGTAATGTCTTCAATGTTGTGAAGGATGCTGAGGCATATGCTACGCAGCCATAATCTATGTGTGTTTCTATTTTGGAGCGAATCAGTGTTCTGTAGTAGAGTGTTAGCAATGTTTTCCCATCTGCACCTCACTTTTTGTTTGCTAGGCATTTAAGAAGGTTCATCCTTTTTTGGAATGATATGACTAGTTCACAAATATGAGATTTATAAGTTAGGGATTGGTCGAATATCAAGCCTAAATATTTTATTTCTTTAGTATAGGAAAGTATTTCATTGTTGAGTTTTAGAACGGGTGATCTAGGAAGTTGGTTATGTTTTTTGGAGAAGATAATACATTTTGTTTTTTCGGAGGAGAAGCGAAAACCACTTTGTTTCGACCAAATGCTTAGTCTATTTAATTCCTGCTGCATAAGCTGTGCCATGTTTCTCAAGTTTTTACCTTTTGTGAAAATTATCAGATCATTAGCAAATAGTCTGGCTTGTAGAGGTTTTTGAGATGATTTTAGCATGTCGTTGATGGCTATTAGAAATAAGGTGGGGCTAATAACGGATCCTTGAGATGTGCAATTTTGTTGATATTTTCTGCTTGATAAGATGCCGTTTGTTCTTAGTTGAAAATTTGTTTGAGAGAAAATTTTGGATGAACGCTAGAATGTTACCTTGGTAGCCCCAAGAATCTAATATAGAGAGAATTTTATGGTTGTTTCTAGGTCGACTAGATTATCAGTAGTATACCTACAGGGACGAAAGCCAGCTTGCTCTGCAATGAGTTGTTTCTTTTCCTCCAGATACCATATCAAGCGTTTGTTTGTAATTTTTTCAAATAATTTACTCATGACACATGTTAGTGATATTGGGCGAAATGAGTCAGCTTTATTAGACACTTTGCTTGTTTTTAAGATTGGTATAACAATAGCTGCATTCCATAATTTGGGAAATGTGTGTTGTATCCATGTGGTATTGTAGAAGTTTAACAAGTGATGATAAATTTTTCAAAAATGCTGCAGGAATATCAATCGGAGCCTGGTGACGAATCTTTTAATAGAAGGACAGCGTCTAAATTCAGCAATGGTGATTGGTAGATTAATTGTATCATTATTATTTAATATTTGTATCGGTTTTGTGTATTCTTCTGTTATTTCATGTTTTATAAAATCCGGGTCGTAATTTTTACTATTGGATGTTTGGGTTATGAAGCTGGCAAGTTCCTCTGCGATTAGTGTCCGGTCTGTTGGGTGTTATCTTGTACGTTTAGTTCTCTGATGCCATGGTAGCATTTTGTACAAGATATTTTTCTAATTTTTTTCCAAACAGAAGATAACTGCGTATTGTGGTTAAGGCTTTCCACGTACTTAGACCAAGATATTTTTTTGTTGCTTTGTTGGTTACAAGTTTAGCATGTGCTCTTTGTTTTTTTAGGTTTATCAAGTTTTCTGTGGTCTTGTTGCGTTTGTATAACGTAAGAGCATTTTTACTTTGTTTTATGGCTTGGCTACATCCATCATTCCACAAAGGCACTACTTTATTTCTCTCAACGATTTTGCATTTTCCGATAGATTTTAGTGCAGATTCTATTATTAAATTATTGAACTGCATTAGTGATTCATCTACGTTATTTGATAAATGCATTTTTGTTAGACCTTTTTTTTATTAGGTCTTGAAACATTTCCCAGTTGGCAAGATCTAGTTTCCATTTGGATAAAAGTTTCTTCCTTGTAGTTGGAATTGATAATTAGAATTGGAAAATGATGGCTTCCGTGTAAGTCATCGAGAACTCTCCAGTGATGATCAAGCAAAAATGACGGCGTGCATAGTGATAGATCAATAGCCGAGAAATTGCCTAAACCGGCATCAAAATGGGTGGGAGATCCATCGATTAGAAGTCCCAGGTTTTGGTTCCGAATTATGTTAGCATTTTTTCCCCATTGGAGTGGTTTTGTGAGAGCCCCAGAATATGTTGTGCCCATTCAAGTCACCCAGAATAATTTTGGGATTGGGTATCTGGTTGATTAGATCTTGCAGTTCAATTTCATCGACTGTACAATTTGGGGGAATTTAAATGCTGCACATATATATTTTCTGAGATGAGCCTAATTCAATAGCGATCGCTTCGAAACTGGTATTTAAATGAAATTCTTTCGCTGTAAGATGATGTTTTGAATAAATACATACACCACCAGACGCATGGTTGGTATTGCTACTGATTTTAGTAAATATGTTGTAACATTTGAGCTCATAAATATAAGAGTCTTTAAAGTTAGTTTCTTGGAGACATATGATGTCTAGTGAATATTGATTTATAAGGAGTTGGAACATGGGTAGGCGGGTATGGAGACCATTAAGGTTCCATTGTAAAATTAAATTGTACATTGAAAATATTTAAGTTTGGGGCTTGGAGTAAGCAATTGAAAGACGGTGGTTAGCAAAGTGATGAATCGCTTTCACTTTCAGTTATGCCAGATTCGAGTTTCTTTTTATTCTAGTACAACGTCCTTTAGCTTTTTTTTCTAGAAGAAGATGAATCACTTCTAGGATGGTCAAACTGATCGATGGGTCTGTCGTATAATCTTTGGCTGTGATCAAGACATCTTTACTTCCATGTGTTTCTTCCAGAAGTTGTTCCAGTTGCTGACTGTTTAAAGAGAAAGCTGGGTTATGGTTGTCAATTAAATTCTTAACCATATTTGAGAATTTTACATAATTATCTATATTTTCCTTTCTTGATTTTTGTTTCTTGGCTATCATGCTGTGAGGTTTGACGAAGCTATCTGAGTTATTAGAATCGGTTGGAGACAATATTTCTGATACTGGACGCATGGTGGATTGATTTTCGGGTATTATTATATTTGGAGCATTGTGAATTGTGGAGGTGGATGGTGCCTCTTGTGATACTTGTGAGATTGTGCCTGTTGTTGGCGTGATTGGTATAACTGATTGTGACAGAAAGATATATTTTTGACTGGAATGATAAGGGATTATTGATCTTGTTGAACTGGCAGGTTTAGCGAGGTTGGTAGTTGCTGATGAGTTGGGGGATGTATGATATTTTGCGTTGACGTATGATTGTTGATAATTTGAATAGTTTGTGGTGGTTGAGGTTATATTGGTTGAGAAGTTGTGGGATTTGGACATGAGAGGCGTTGTGGCCAGGTTGTTTGCAGTTGAAGCAGGTATGTTTATCTTTGGATAGGAATATTCTGTACGATACTTCATCCTCGTTCACTTCTATGAAGTCTGGAATTTGGATGTTTTTTTGTGGTGATATATAGATTTGTCTATAGAATGTGGTTGATTGTAAGCTGGGTCATTAGCATTTATTCTTAAGTAACTCATTGGGGACATTAATTTTAGGCCCATATTTTGTAAAAAATCCGTTAGGGTGCCATGAGATATAGTTGGACTGACGTTGGAGAGTAACAACCTTCCGATGGCGTGATTAATCTACGAGCTGGAATTAATAAGCCATTTATTGTGATCGAGCCATGCTCATTCAGGTATTTGTCTACTAAATTGTTGTCACTGAGATATATACAAATCCGATTATTTGATATACCGGAGCAAAATATGTTTTTTGGATTAACAACAGGCCCGAGTTGCAAGAGGTAATTTTGAATTTTGAGTCCATCAATTGATGTAAAAACAATAGCCTGCTCTTTTTTAGGAACAGGAAAAGTGCTTTGGGATAACGCAGATGAGAAAGATTTCACTTTAGAGGAGTTGACTTGAGCGTTATTTACATTATCGTTGTTGGATTCCATTATATTGTTGACCGACATCACGACTGTGCGAAACGCTTTGAGTTTCCCACTGGCGAAACTCAGGCAATCGATAGAATAGCCGATAAAAACTGGAAATGTAAAACTGAAAGCACAAACTCTGTAGCTTCATGATTAATCTGGTTTTTAAAATCTAAACTGAGATTGCTGAGATCCATCGCAACCCCATTAACAAATTATCTTCAGGTTATCTCGTTCTTGTTCTTTCAATGATATCAAGACCTCTTCTAGGAATATTGACAAGCGCATAACTGTAAGGTCAACTAAAGGCTGTAAATCGCTCTCCGCACAGGTACTAGTTACTCTGCATGTATCTGCGAGTGGATAGCATTCTTGTTTTACCTTTTGTAAAAGGATATAACAAGGGAATAAATTTTTATTAGTATTTCTAATTATTTCATATTGCCGACGAGTTAAATCAGCTTCTACGAACATTGCTATTGCTTGTAATGGAGTAAGAGAGCAAGTTTCTTCACTTTTTGATTTAGAAAATGCTTTTTTATATTTGAGTACATCGGAAGCATCTCGTTTTCCAGTTTTCCGCAATTCAACTTGAGCAGCATGTATAATTACTTCTTTATCTGAAGCAGATCGAATCTCCTCAGTTTTCCTCCTTTTAGAACAAATATTTACGGGTCACAATTCTTACACCCGAGGTACTTTGTGAAACTAAACAAAAAAAAATTCTTTAAAAATGTATTTAACATCAATCATAATTTTTAAATTATTGTTTGTTACTTTATTAATATCCATAATCATAATTAGGAGAAAAACCAAAAACTAACAATAGGGGTCAAAGCAATTAATGGGATTAAATTACTGCGAGTAAGGACTGGAATTATCTCACATAATACTAAGAACCACTTAAAAGATTAAGTAAAGGTGAATTATTGATTTCAAATTGATCATTATATTCATCTAAATTTTAACAATAATGGTTAAAGTAATTAAGTGGTTGATGAGTTTAAATTAGTAAAACATCCATTAATGGCATTATCGCACAGAATACTAAGAATCTGTTAAAAGAATTAGGTAAAGGTGAATTATTGATTTCTAATGGATCATTAGCAGATAATCTAAAATCTATATTTATTTCAAGTGTTTGTAGACAGTGCCTTATTTTCTATATGTAATACTAAAAATTATCACTTAAAGACTGGTTTTCAGTAAAAATATGTTTCGCAAATGTATTAATTTTTATTTTTAATATAACTATTTTATTGTACAAAAATTAAATTTTGGTGGTTGTCAAAATATGTATATTGGTCAAACGGGCAGTATTTTCAAAAAGCGTCATCCGAGGCGTCATCTGAACATCATAATAGTTATAATAACTTTACATTTGCCAATCATATTTTGGCTAAAAACCACTCTTTTAGCGATCATTTTGAAAGTTTACATATAGAAAATAAGGGCACTAAAGTAAAAATTTCAAATAAATAGCAGCAGTCAATTAAAAATCCATCATTCACCTTCTTTTTGTAAAAAGCTACCATATTTTGATTTTTCTCCTAGTAATAAGTAATAGATGTTTCTGACAAAAAAAATGCGAAGTGCTGGAAAAGTACTTATCCGCGGTTTTCCGTGGCTAATTTTTTGATTACTTACTACTCAAAGCTCTAATCTTTCGTATGTAATAAGAATTATAACAGGATACACCTTTATCGTATAACTAATTCTTTATTGAACTCAAATCATCGGTCAAAAATATGCTATATTATTTGGAACTTTCAATACACTAAGACAATCTTAAAAATGATAAAATTAAAAAACCTGCTATACTAGGATCCATAACTTTTTCTTTACAAAAAAATGTAAAATAATAAATATTCACTGTTTAAATTACGGTTTTCACTCGAATGCTTTCACATACACATATACCAACTAAAACAGTCAAATTCAAACTGCCAGTGAAGAAGCGGGGTGCACTGAAGGAAAACGGGAGGGGATAGATAATGTGCTATAACTAGTCGCCTAACCCAGGTAGTTGTTTTTATTTAAAAATTTTGCATTTTGTAAAATAGACTTTTGAAAAAGCTGCAGAATAACTTACCTAAGGTATGATTCCGGAAAAAGCAGGAAGAGATACTAAAACACGTACGAAGGATATAGTAAGTTACATTTGCTAGCCGAGAAAGTGACACATGCTAGCCGGGAAAGTGAAGTAAGCAATAAGTCGCTTTTCGACTGTTTTGAGGGGTTTAAATCCACAGATTACTAACCGATTATAAGTAAATACACTAGCGAACATAGCGAATCTTTACTTGTTCCCTGATGAAGAAAGTGGAAATACCTTGTTCTTGAGTAATGCCTCGCGGTAGATAGTAACTATCAATACCATGATATACAGCTCTGTAGCGTTCAAGAAATGTAAACATTATGAATGGTACTTCAGATAATGTCACCTACATTCCGGCTAAAACCGTAAAAATGCAGAAAAAAGTAGATTCATTGTTGACTGAGATTCATCCATTACCAATACAATACCAAATATTGGAAAAGCTGAACAAAATGGATGAACGAATTACTAGGTTAGAATATGGTAGCAAAGGAGCTATATCTAAGAGACAATATAATGAGTAATAGCCTAATAATATTGGAATGGAATGCTAATGGACTGCTGCAGCACCAACAAGAATTGAAAGCAATCCTAGATATAGAAAGCATAGACATATGCTTAATTTCAGAAACTCACTTTACCAATGAGTCCTTTACTAAATTTAAGGGATATAAGGTTTATCATACCATTCATCCCCAAAATGCAACAAGAGGAGGTAGCGCAGTAATAATTAGAGAAGCAATTAAGCATCATCAAGAAGTGGGATACAGGACTGAAGAATTTCAGGCTACTTCAGTAATGATAAAATCTAAAACTTCTGATGTTATGGTCACTTCTGTATATTGTCGCCAAGACATACCGTTAAAAAAGAACAATACCTAGATTTCCTCAATAGTCAAGAACCTAGATTTATCACTGGAGGCGACTTTAATGTAAAATACACCCATTAGGGCTCCAGACTAACAATTAAGGGTAAAAACCTAAAAGAAGAAATGACACAGTTAAAATGTGAGTCGCATTCAACTGACAAACCGACTTATTGGCCCACAGATAGAAACAAAATACCCGACCTTATAGACTTTTTTGTTGTACGAAATATTTCAGCAAACTACAGACAAGTTGATGTCCAACATACAACAAGCAGCATGGGATAATACGCCACCTATTGTGCAGCGAACAACAGGAAACAACTATCCTAAAGAAATAAGGGACATAATCTCTGCCAAAAGAAAACTAAGGAGGAAATGGCATCAGACCAGAGCTCCATCAGATAAAACCAAACTTAACAATGCCACCCAGCAGTTAAAAAGAGAAATAAAACGAATCAAAAATGAATCTATTTGTGAATACCTTAGTGAGTTGACAAACGATAAATCCACTGATTATTCTCTATGGAAAGCCATTAAGCGATTAAAAAGGCCCACTGTGCAGAATGCTACAATTAGGAATACAGATGGTAGCTGGGCTAGAAATAATATACAAAAAGTTAATAGATTCGCAGAGCACTTACAAAATACCTTCCAACCAAATGAAGGAGAAGAATTATCGAACTGGGCTCGTCTAGAGAGAGATGACTCAATTATCAGAGCAACCTCTACAAAGGAAATTGCAGAAGATATAAAAATAAATATTAATCCTAAGAAAGCTCCTGGCTTTGATTTAATTACAGGAGAATTCTTAAAACAACTTCCGAAGAAAGCCATAATTAAACTTACACACCTGTTTAATGCCTCATTCAAACTAAGATATATCTTTAGATTGTGCAAAGTACCTGAAGTCATTATGATCCCCAAACCAGGAAAATCTCCGAACGAAGTTTCATCATATAGACCAATATCTCTATTGCCTATAATATCGAAACTATTTGAAAAAATACTAATAAAAAGACTGAAATCCATCATTGAAGAAAGGATACTTATTCCAGATTACCAGTTCGGTTTTGGAGAAAACCATTCAACTATAGATCAGGTTCATAGAATCTCAAATGCGATTGAAAAAGCATTTTTTTTCTCTCCTGGGCTCGTCTGACTATGTGTCTCCGAATAACACTGAAGCCTATTGGCTTATTGTGTTTTACCCCATGTTAGTTCATAACACCCACTCTATCACCTTTGTACCTTGTACAAGTTTGTACAGATCCTTGGGTGAGTGGGTTCTATACGTTGTTGGATCAACCTGGGGTTGTCCAAAAAGAGCCTGTCTTTTGCGATCTAGAGCTTCGCATTCGCACAGTATGTGTTTGGCCGTTTCTGGTTTCTTGTGAGATAGTCGGCACATGAGTTCCCCATTGTACATGCCAATTTTGTTCAAGTGTCCCTTTACTGGGGCGTGCCCAGTCATGAACCCTGTTATCACTTTCAACTGGTTCCTATTCATTA